AGCAGCAGCCACCGGTACAACAAACTATGAAGAAAAGCAGCAGCCAATGGTACAACAAACCATAAAGGCACCAGCAGCCACTCGGCACAACAAACTATACACCAGCAGCCACTCGGTACAACAAACCATACAGCAGCAGCCACTCGGTACAACAAACTATACAGCAGCAGCCACTGGCATAACAACTATACACCAGCAGCCACTCGGTACAACAAACTACATACACCAGCAGCCACTGGTACAACAACTATACAGTAGCAGCCACTGCACAACAAACCATGGCGACCAGCAGCCACTGGTACAACAAACTATACACCAGCAGCACTCGGCATAACAACCATACAGCAGCAGCACTGGCACAACAAACCATACACCAGCAGCCACTGGCACAACAAACTATGCACTGTTAAGCCACCACTCGGTACAACAACTAACACCAGCAGCCACCGGTAACAAACTATACAGCAGCAGCAGCCACCCGGCACAACAACCATACACCAGCAGCCACTCGGTACAACAAACCATACACCAGCAGCCACTCGGTACAACAAACCATACAGCAGCAGCCATCGGTACAACAAATCATACAGCAGCAGCCACTCAGTACAACAAACTACGACAGCTGCCACTAGGTACAACAACAAACTATACAGCAGCAGCCACTCGGCACAACAAACTACACAGCAGCATGCCACCGGTACAATAAACTATAAGGCGCAGCAGCACCGGTACAACAACCATGAAGCAGCAGCAGCCACCGGTACAACAAACCATGCTACAGCAGCCACTCGGTACAACAAACTATACACCAGCAGCCACCGGTACAACAAACTATACAGCAGCAGCCACCGGTACAACAAACTATACAGCAGCAGCCACTCGGCACAACAATTATACAGCAAGCCACCGGTACAACAAACTATACACCAGCAGCCACTCGGCATAACAACCATACACCGCAGCCACTCGGTACAACAAACTACACCAGCAGCCACTGGTACAACAACAAACCATACAGCAGCAGCCACCTTCGGCACAACAAACTATACAGCAGCAGCCACCGGCACAACAAACTATACACCAGCAGCCACTCGGTACAAATAAAGTATACAGCAGCAAGCCACCGGTACAAATAAACTATACAGCAGCCACTCGGCAACAAACTACAGCAGCAGCCACTGGTACAACAAACCATACAGCAGCAGCCACCGGTACAACAAACCATACAGGCAGCAGCCACTCGGTACAAATAAACCATACAGCAGCAGCCACTCGGCACAACAAACTATGCCAGCAGCAGCCACTGGTACAACAAATCATACAGCAGCCACTCGGTACAACAAACCATACAGCAGCAGCCACTGTACAACAAACCATACAGCAGCAGCCACTCGGTACAACAAACTATACAGTAGCAGCCACTGGTACAAACTATACACCAGCAGCCACTGCACAACAACAAATTACACAGCAGCAGCCACTCGGTACAACAAACTACAGCAGCAGCCACTGGTACAACAAACTATAACAGTAGCAGCCACCTCGGCATAACAACCATACAGCAGCAGCCACCGGTACAACAAACCATACAGTAGCAGCCACTCGGTACAACAACCATACAGCAGCAGCCACTGGTACAACAAATATACAGCAGCCACCGGTACAACAAACTATACAGCAGCAGTTACTCGGTACAACAAACTATACACCAGCAGCCACTGGCACAACAAACCATACAGCAGCAGCCATCGGCACACAACAACCACAGCAGCAGCCACTCGGTAGAACAAACTATACAGCAGCAGCCACTCGGTACAACAAACCATACAGCAGCAGCCACTCGGTACAACAAACTATACAGCAGCCACTGGTACAAACAACCACAGCAGCAGCCACCGGTACAACAACCATACAGCAGCAGCCACCGGTACAACAAACTATACAGCAGCAGCCACCGGTACAACAAACTATACAGCAGCAGCCACTGGCACAACAAACTATACAGCAGCAGCCACTGGCACAACAAACTATACAGCAGCAGCTACCGCAGAACAAACTACAGCAGCAGCCACTGGTACAACAAACCATACAGCAGCAGCCACTCGGCACAACAAACCATAGTTGAAAGCAGCAGCCACTGGTACAACAAAACTGGCGGCTGTTGTTGCGCCACCGGTACAACAAACTATACAGCAGCAGCCACCGGTACAACAAACCATACAGCAGCAGCCACTGGCACAACAAACTATACAGCAGCAGCCACCGGTACAACAAACCAGCAGCAGCAGCCACTGGTACAACAAACTATACACCAGCAGCCACCGGTACAACAAACCATGCAGTAGCAGCCACTCGGCACAACACCCATACAGCATCAGCCACCGGCACAACAAACTATGCGGCGACCAGCAGCCACTCGGCACAACAAACCATACAGCAGCAGCCACTCGGTAACAAACCATACAGCAGCAGCCACACACGGCAAGGGGTCAAACTATACAGCAGCAGCCACCGGTACAAATAAACCATGCCAGCAGCAGCGCCACTGGTACACAACAAACCATACAGCAGCAGCCACCGGTACAACAAACTATACACCAGCAGCCACTCGGTACAACAACCATACAGCAGCAGCCACTGGTACAACAAACCATACAGCAGCAGCCACCTCGCATAAATAAACTACAGCAGCAGCAGCCACCGGTACAACAAACTATACAGCAGCAGCCACTCGCGCCAACAAACTACAGCAGCTACTCGGTAGAACAAACCAGTACAGCAGCAGCCACCGGTACAACAACCATGGCTGTTACAGCCACCGGCAACAACAAACCATACAGCAGCAGCCACCGGCACAACAACCATACAGCAGCAGCCACCGGCAATAACAAAACCATACAGCAGCAGCCACCGGTACAACAAACCATGTGCTGCTGGTTAACAGCCACTCGGCACAACAAACCATACAGCAGCAGCCACTCGGTACAACAAACCATACAGCAGCAGCCACTGGTACAACAAACTATACACCAGCAGCCACTGGTACAACAAACCATGGGCAGTGGCGCAGCCACTCGCACAACAATCTATACAGCAGCAGCCACTCGGCACAACAAACTATGCTGGCAGCAGCCACCAGCACAACAAACCATACAGCAGCAGCCACTGGTACAACAACCATACAGCAGCAGCCACCGGCACAACAACAAACTATACAGCAGCAGCCACTCGGCACAACAACATATGCAGCAGCCACTCGGTACAACAAACCATACACCAGCAGCCACTGGCATAACAAACCATATGGTAGAGCAGCCAACGGGTACAACACCCATACAGCAGCAGCCACTGGTACAACAACCACGCTACAGCAGCAGCCACCGGTACAACAAACTATACAGCAGCAGCCACTGGTTACCCAAACTATACAGCAGCAGCCACTCGGTACAACAAACCATACAGCAGCAGCCACTCGGCACAATCAATCCATACAGCAGCAGCCACTGGTACAACAACCATACACCAGCAGCCACTGGTACAACAAATCATACACCCAGCAGCCACCGGTACAACAACCATACACCAGCAGCCACTCGGCACAACAAACTATAAAGCAACAGCCACCGGTACAACAAACTATACAGCAGCAGCCACTGCACAAACAAACTATACACCAGCAGCCACTCGGTACAACAAACTATACAGCAGCAGCCACTCGTTACAAAACAACTATACACCAGCAGCCACTCGGTACAACAAACTATGTATGTTAATTGCAGCAGCCACCGGTACAACAAACCATACAGCAGCAGCCACTGGTACAACAAACCATACAGCAGCAGCCACTGGCACAAATAAACCATACAGCAGCAGCCACTGGTACAACAAACTATACAGTAGCAGCCACTCGGTACAACAAACTATGCTACAGCAGCCACTGGTACAATAAACCATGGCCACCAGCAGCCACTGGCACAACAAACTATACAGCAGAAGCCACTCGGTACAACAAACTATACACCAGCAGCCACTCGGTACAACAACCATATACCAGCAGCCACTCGGTACAACAAACTATAAGCAGTAGCAGCCACTCGGTACAACAACCATAACAGCAGCAGCCACCGTACAACAAACTATACAGCAGCAGCCACCGGTACAACAAAACTACAGCAGCAGCCACTCGGCACAACAACCATGGCACCAGCAGCCAACTCGGTACAACAAACTATACACCAGCAGCCACTGGTACAACAACCATGGCTGTTGTTAAGCCACCGGTACAACAAACTTACAAGCAGCAGCAGCCACTCGGCACAACAAACTATAAGCAGCAGCAGCCACTGGTACAACAACAAACTATACAGCAGCAGCCACCGGTACAACAAACCATACAGCAGCAGCCACTGGTACAACAACCAGGCCAGCAGCCACCTGGCATAACAAACCACCAGCAGCCACTGGCACAACAAACTATACACCAGCAGCCACTGGCACACAACAAACTATACACCAGCAGCCACCGGTACAACAAACTATACAGCAGCAGCCACTCGGCAACAAACCATACAGCAGCAGCCACTGCGCAAACCATACATCAGCAGCCACTGGCACAACAACCATACAGCAGCAGCCACCGGTACAACAAACTATACATCAGCAGCCACCGGTACAATAAACCATATGGCAGCAGCCACCGGTACAAACAAACCACAGCAGCAGCAGCCACTCGCACAACAAACCATACAGTAGCAGCCACTCGGCATAACAAACTGGCGCGAGCAGCAGCCACTGGTACAACAAACTATACAGCAGCAGCCACTCGGTACAACAAACCATACAGCAGCAGCCACTCGGTACAACAAACTATACAGCAGCAGCCACTGGTACAACAACCATACAGCAGCAGCCACTTGCACAACAAACTATACAGCAGCAGCCACCTGGTACAACAAACTATACAGCAGCAGCCACTGGTACAACAAACTATACACCAGCAGCCACTGGTACAACAAACCACAGTAGCAGCCACTGGTACAACAACCATAAGCAGCAGCAGCCACTCGGCATAACAAACTATACAGCAGCAGCCACTGGCACAACAAACCATACAGCAGCAGCCACTCGGCATGCAACAAAACTATACACCAGCAGCCACTGGTACAACAAACCATGCTGCAGCAGCCACTGGCAACAAACCATACATCAGCAGCCACTCGGTACAACAAACTATACATCAGCAGCCACTCGGCACAACAAACTATACAGCAGCAGCCACTGGTGGCAACAACCATAGCAGCAGCATACTCGGTACAACAAACTACAGCAGCAGCCACCGGTAACAAAACTATACATCAGCAGCCACCGGTACAACAAAACTGGCGCTGCGCAGCAGCCACCTTCCGGTACAACAAACCATACAGCAGCAGCCACCTTCCGCACATCAAACCAGCAGCAGTACGCCACTCGGTACAACAACCGGCAGCATCAGCAGCCACTCGGCAAGCAACAACCATACAGCAGCAGCCACTGCACAACAACAACCATATGGCAGCAGCCACTGGCAATAAACTATACAGCAGCAGCCACCGGTACAACAAACTATACATCAGCAGCCACTCGGTACAACAAACTATACACCAGCAGCCACTCGGCATAACAAATTCATACAGCAGCAGCCACCGGTACAACAAACTATGCGGCAGCAGCCACTTGCATAACAAACCATACAGCCAGCAGCCACTCGGCATAACAACCAGCACCAGCAGCCACCGGTACAAACAAACTATGCCAAGCAGCAGCCACTGGCACAACAACCATACAGCAGCAGCCATCCGCACAACAAACCATACAGCAGCAGCCACCGGTACAACAAACCATACAGCAGCAGCCACCCGGTACAACAACAAACTATACAGCAGCAGCCACTCGGTACAACAAACTATACAGCAGCAGCCACCGGTACAACAACCATACAGCAGCAGCCACTCGGCACAACAACAAACCATACAGCAGCAGCCACCAGTACAACAAACTATACAGCAGCAGCCACCGGCACAACAAACCATGGCCAGCAGCAGCCACCGGTACAAACAAAACTATGTTGTTGGCGCAGCCACCTGGCACAACAAACTATACAGCAGCAGCCACCTGGCACAACAAACTGATAAGCAGCAGCAGCCACTCGGTACAACAAACTATACAGTAGCAGCCACTGGCGGCGTAATTGTAAAACCATACAGCAGCCACTCGGCACAACAAACCACAGCAGCAGCCACCGGTACAACAAACTATACAGCAGCAGCCACTGGAAGTACAACAACCATACAGCAGCAGCCACTCGGTGTACAACAACCATACAGCAGCAGCCACTGCACAACAAACCATATACACCAGCCAGCCACTTCGGTACAATAAACCAGGCAGCAGCAGCCACTTCGGCACAACAAAACTATAAGCAGCAGCAGCCACTGGTAGTTAACAACCACATACACCAGCAGCTACTCGGTACAAATAAACTATACACCAGCAGCCACTCGGTACAGCCAAACTATAGTAGCAGCCACTCGTTACAACAAACCATACAGCAGCAGCCACCGGCACAACAACCATACAGCAGCAGCCACTCGGTACAAATAAACGGCGCAGTAGCAGCCGTACCGTTACAACAAACTATACAGCAGCAGCCACCTCGGTACAATGCAACCATGCAGCAGCAGCCACTCGGCAAGGTAACAAACTATGGTTGAAAGCAGCAGCCACCGGTATATACCAAACCATAAGCACCAGCAGCCACCGGTACAACAACAAATCATACAGCAGCAGCCACCAGTACAACAAACCATACAGCAGCAAGCCACCGGTACACCGAAACCATACAGCGCAGCAGCCACTGGTACAACAAACTGCTACACCAGCAGCCACTCGGTACAACAAACTATACAGCAGCAGCCACCGGCATGAACAAACCAAGTACAGCAGCAGCCACTCGGCATAACAAACTATACAGCAGCAGCCACTCGGTACAATGTAAACCATACAGCAGCAGCCACTCGGCACAACAAACTATACAGCAGCAGCCACTGGTACAACAAACTATGCTGAGCAGCAGCCACGGCGGCTGCAACAAACCATGGGCGAGCAGCAGCCACCGGTGCACAACAAACTATACAGCAGCAGTCCACTGGTACAACAAATCATAAGAAAGCAGCAGCCACCTGGCATACCGAACTATACAGCAGCAGCCACTCGGTACAAGAACTATACAGCAGCAGCCACTGGTCGATACAATACTTGATGAAAAATAATTAATTGCCTATTACTCAAGAACTTTATCTAATGGAATTACCCTTTATAAGCGCTCAAGCAGGTGTTCATTATCATGTTTACGAGTGAATAAAACTATTAAAGTGATTAGTAAACATTGAATAACAGTGGACAGGGAGAGACGGGGAGAAAGGATAGACGGATGGAAAAGACAGGGGAAAAAGATAATGCGAGGAAGAGATAAGGAGTGAGAGGTGTGTGTGTGTGTGTGTGTGTGTGTGTGTGTGTGTGTGTGTGTGTGTGGTGTGTGTGTGTGGGTGTGTGTGTGTGTGTGTGGTGGGGTGTGTGTGTGTGTGTGTGTGTGTGTGTGGGGTGTGTGTGTGGGGTGTGTGTGTGTGTGTGTGGGTGGTGTGGGTGTGTGTGTGTGTGTGTGTGTGTGTGTGTGTGTGTGTGTGTGTGTGTGTGTGTGTGTGTGTGTGGAGGTGTGTGGGGTGTGGGTGGGTGTGGTGTGTGTGTGGGTGTGTGTGTGTGTGTGTGTGGGTGTGTGTGGGTGGGTGGGTGGGTGGGTGGTGGGTGGGTGGGTGGGTGGGTGGTGGTGTGGGTGGGGGTGGGTGGGTGGGTGGGTGGTGGGTGGGTGGGTGGGTGTGGGTGTGTGTGTGTGTGTAATAATAATAATAATAATAATAATTGACGGTTTATTGAAAATTTGCAGCCCGAAGGCTGAAAATATACATTGGACATAAATGACTTATTACACATTGGTGGTTTAACAAAAGCCTTCATTAGAGAAAGGTAAAGGAACATACAATGAACATACAGATTATTGTAGGTGTTGAACAGCAAACACGTAGTGTAGTAACTCCCTCCCAGATGGTGTTAGAGGGACCTGTGGTTCTGGTGTGGGTTGGTGTCTCATGGTGTTTGAGGGACCTCACGTGGTGTAGTAATTCCTCACAGATGGTGTGATGAGGGACTTGACGAGGTGTAGTAATTCCCTCACATATGGTGTTATGAGGGACATGTGGTGTAGTAATTCCCTCACAGATGGTGTTATATGAGTGAGGTTTGATCTTAGGCCTTCCTATCGTGACGGATTAACACATCGCTGGTTGTTGTTGGGTCTCATGGGCCTTTACCACGGGTTGGGCACCTCACTGTGTGAAAAGTTAACTGGGTACGACTGTTACTGTTGAGTTGTTTTCACTGACTTAAGCACTGTTCACCTCTGTTTAACACTGGTTCCGTTCCTTTCTAAATGAAATTGTAACTTGGCGAGAACTTGATATTCCGGTGGGGGTAATAGTCTGGTCAACCTGAGGAGGTCTGACCTTCAGGTCAAGGATGGGTGGGTGTGGTGTGGGTGGGTGTGTGTGTGGTGTGTGTGTGGGTGGGTGGGTGGGTGGGTGGGTGGGTGGGTGTGGGTGGGTGTGGGTGGGTGGGTGTGGGTGGTGGGTGTGTGTGTGGGGTGGGTGGGTGTGTGGGTGTGGGTGGGTGGGTGTGTGTGTGTGTGTGTGGTGGGTGGGTGTGTGTGTGTGTGTGTGTGTGTGTGTGTGTGTGTGTGTGTGGGTGTGTGTGTGTGTGTGTGTGTGTATGTGTGGGGTGTGGTGTGTGTGTGTGTGTGTGGGTGGGTGTGTGTGTGGGTGGGTGGTATGTGTCACTACATAAAAGAAGCATATCGTTTACCTGATTATATTTTCAATTGGACTGTACAAGTTTCAACTTCCCCGACGACCAAACACTTAATATGCTAAAACCAGTCGTTACTGCACATAATACAAGCTGACAGAGGCTGACAAAAGCTGACAGAGGCTGATACAAGCTGACAGAGGCCACAAAAGCTGATAGAGGCTGACAAAAGCTGACAGAGGCTGATACAAGCTGACAGAGGTTGATACAGCACCTCCCAAACACACAACAGTACCCACCACCCCGCTCAACAACTCTCTATATAAACACCATTACTACCCAACACTAAATTACTCGACCTTCATAGTGACACCTCAGGTAAAGTCAGGGGTCTCTTGCCTGGGAGTAGCACTGTAATGATCTCTGTCTCTAGCCACTTTCTCCTTCTCCTCTCTCTGGGCCCAGGTTCCTCCTCCTCCCCACCCTACCCCCAACGTCCTCCACCCAACACCACACCCCTGCCTTCCTCCACGCCCCCTCCCTCGCCTCTCCAACCACCCCACCCTCCTCTAAAATATTGATTACCAGCGACCTTTCACTACACACGTGCTCGTGACCTTAGTGTAGCCTCAATACTGGTTATCGACACCTCAGATACGCCAGAGCAATGACGAGAGACAGTCAACAAGTCCTAGTAGATTGGTTCCTGTTGTGGGTGGGGTGGATGGTGGGTGGGTGTGAGTGGTGGGTGAGTGGTGGGTGATGTGGGTTGTGGTCTCTGGTGTATGGTTGTAGGTTAGGTTAATTATATTACCGTTTAGAAGTTTAATCATATATTCAAATAAGCTTGGGAGGGTGGGGTGGGGTGGGGGAGGAGGGGCTAAACTTGAGGTGATCTAATACTCTCAATAAAATAATCCAGGTATCTCAGCATTCATTATGACGTACCACCTTTCCCATAATCATAAAAAATAAAAAAAGCAAAAAAATCATATATCGGGATAATTTATGTAGATATAATCCTCTTATCGATGAACTACAGGGAATTTATCCTCTTCCCCCACATGACTCTTTTTCCCAAACCAAGTTGTCAAGTCTTCGATTTTCCATGATTTGCTCACAGATCATGCAGTCTTATTATCCAAATACGGTCTCGACTGGGAACACACGATGATGGTGA